ATATATATATATATATATATATACATTAAATGCAATATAAATGCAATATAAAAATGTATAAATAAACAGCATTGGTTAAAGTACAAGTAAAATAAAATGAGTATAAGGTGCAATGAACAGATTATATATAATTTATTACATACAAATTAGCAAAAACCTTCAATAATTTACCATGAAGAAGCAGGTGACAGCAAATTTAGTGACAGAAGAGCAGCATTTATTCCTCTTTTCTACTAATTTGAATAAAGGAAGGTAAGTAGATTAGTCGTATATTCTGGTTTTTGTGGGAAACTACTCAAAAAGTGTGAAGTGGTATTCCAGACTCCTATAGTAATGCAAATGAGTGTCTAGTATCCAGGCAACGGTTGTGTAGTAGGAAGAAAAGTGTATTGTGACGCAAGATCACGTCTGATCCCAACTGTGAGAAGATGAGCCTTGGGAGGGAGTATGCATATGCAACAAGTCAGAACAAAAGCAACCAAACTGCAAGCAAAACATGCAATTCCAGCAGGTTGTTGCAAACAAAATGATCAGCAATTAGTAAATCAATTAATTTAGTAATCAAATTGTTACCATCATAAGCAGACAATAAAGTATGCCACTTGCTGAATGATTACATACTTAGTGGAGAACTTAAGAAAATGTGCAATAAAGTTTTGTTCTTTTCTAAATGCCAAAAAATGTTTTTTTTTAGAAAGGTTATTGACATATTTTTTTTTTTTTAGATTAATAAAAATATTGACTTGATTTGTTAGTTGCAGATTTGATTTGTTAGACTTGATAGTTGCAGCCATTTTTTTGTCTTGTAAAGACAGGTTGGATGCTGTCTGTGTTTTCTTCTGTGTCTGACCTGTGGATGCCGGAGCACTCGATGCACAGCAGGATGCCCAGGTTGATCGAGGCCCAGCGTGGGTCAGCTTGACTGCAGTCGCAGCACTGCTCATTCCCTGGCAGACTCTGGATGCGCTGCAGGATCGTTTCAGGCCTGGCGCTGCGCTCCCGCGGCTCACTGGCTGAATCAATGCTGCTGGTGGACGGAGAGGCTGTTCTGTCCAGGTGCTGAAAATGGACAGAATATGAACGTCAGACAAAAAGGCAGCCAGGAGGAGTCAAACTGTACCTGATTAAAGTAATTAGGGTAATGTGTTTAACAGCCTTAAAACATAAACGAGGGTAAAATCTCATAAACAACATGTAAAAGTTTCATTGCATGACCACAAATGGTGACTCACCTCGATGTAGTAGGTGTCTGGGCTTTCTTTGTAGGCTGAAGCAATGCTAGCTTGAACTGCTTGAATCCAAGCTTGTCGTAGTTTCTCAGACTCAGCCTGAAGCATACAGCTCCTGTAGGACAAGACAGTTTTAAATCCTTCTGTTGGTTGGTTGGCGCATTTAAAAAGGGAAATAGTTGTGTGTTGAAATTTCAACTAGAAGGTAACAAAGGCTGGTTATTAGTATGATGCTTAAACAGATAGTGGGTCAAAATTTCACTCATTTGCTTCAATTCAAATCAAATAGTTTTTTATTGATATGAAAATTAAACGTAACGTTGTAAGTAGAAGTTGTGCAAGTATAATTCATATTTTGAGACGATACGGAGCCCTTCCTGGGTCTAACAAAACAACTTGCTACTGTGGCCGTGGTTGCCATGGTTATGCATCACGACAAAATGTAAAAAAAATGAGAACATATTGTCAAAAATCATTTTATATGGACAGCAACCAATTCCAGAGTTAAAAAAGAAAACATTGAATAAACAAAACTTGGAGCCACACCAATGGAGGAACCAAATGTTTTCCAAAAAAACTGTTGCGTTCAGACTGGGTGCGTTTTTCGGAATCTAAGCGTCTGATTTACATGCAAAGTCGACGACGTCAAGAGTTCAGAAAATCGAACTTTCGCCGCTGGAAGCTGGAGCGTCAGAAAAGCTCATCCAGGAGTTTTTTGCGGAGACAGACACTGCATGCAAGCTGTTGTTGCTTCTGAATATAAATAAAGAAATAAATATCTACTGTAGGGAGTTAAACTCCAAAGGTTTAAAATAAAAGCTGGACGAACGGATTGTTAGGAGGAACAGAGAGTGAGCTCTGATCATTATTGCTGCACTAAAACATTTTTATGAACTATGGCGGAAGAGTTTATAAATAAATTTATAAACCCACATTAACTAGAAATGTTAAAACAGGGTTTATACAGGAATGAGTAAATCTTATCTAATGCTTTTTAATGCTCTTCTAATGCTCTTAGAAATAATTTTAATGACCTGAGTGAAGTTGGCCCCCCCACCTTCTTCAAATCAGACAAAATTAATGTCAAACGTTTATGCAGCAAAAAGTTTTGCTTGTGCCGCTATCGTTTTAAAGATATAAAGAAATATTTCATCAAAGGTCAATCAGCCCCCCCACCTTCTTCAAATCAGAGGAAATGGGTGTCAATTAACTCATCTCCGTTTGAGCTGGTTTGTGCAGCAAAAATTGTCGTTTGTGCCGCTTTGGCTTTGAAGATATTAATGAAAATGTAAAGGTCAAAAGGTCAACCAGCCCCCCCACCTTCTTCAAATTAGACAAAATTGGTGTCAAACGTTTGTGCAACGTTTGTGCAGCAAAACTTTTTGTTTGTGCCGCTTTCATTTTAAAGATATAAAGAGATGTTTCTAGAGGTCATCAAAGGTCAACCAGCCCCCCCGCCCCCCCCACACACACACTTTCTTCAAATCTTCAAATCCAAAGCAGCACAAACGAAAATTTTTGCTGCACAAACCAGCTCAAACGGAGCTGAGTTAATTGACACCTATTTCGTCTGAACTGAATAAGGTGGGGGGGGCTGGTTGACCTTTGATGACCTCTAGAAATATTTCTTTATATCTTTAAAACGATAGCGGCACAAACGAAAATTTTTGCTGCACAAACGTTTGACACCAATTTTGTCTAATTTGAATAAGGTGGGGGGGCTAGTTGACCTTTTGACCTTTACATTTTCATTAATATCTTCAAATCTAAGGCAGCACAAACGAAAATTTTTGCTGCACAAACGTTTGACACTAATTTTGTCTGATTTGAAGAAGGTGGGGGGGCCAACTTCACTCAGGTATTCTAATGCCATCAACAAGTACCCATGACTCTCATATAAATACAGCAAAATCTTTTGTCATCTTTACGATGGACAGGCTGCAGCCATGTCCCGAATTCGTCATTTTCCAGTCACTTTTATTGAAAATTGCATTTTCCAATTCTCTAACTTTTTCTCCGCCTCGAGCTTTTTCCCCAAACATACGACTTTACGATCAACCAGAGACAGTTCTGCGCAAACATATCGCAATATATTAATATCTGACAAAATTGTTTTTATTCCCTTTTTTTTTAATAAAGCATTTTAAATGCCACGATAATCAAATTTAATGAATTTTAATGCCAATTAAGGCCCTACTTTCAAAAATTATAATTTTAATGGTTTTTAACGACCTGCAGAAACCCTGTAAAAATGCAAAACTTTGCAGTTTTTACCACAAACCTTAAAAACTCTTTATATTCACTTCCAGCTACGGATGGCAATGCGAAATCCCCCAGAGGTTGGCCTGCAGCAGAGAGCTTTCTGCTAGGATTTCCAGTGCTGCTGGCCAGCTAGAGGTCTGACATGTGATACTACAAAGCTCTAAGGAAGACCTTTAGTTAGCTTTTTTTACTGACTCATGTTAACTTGGATATTTACCTGGCAGATAATTGTTTCCAGCACAGGCCAGAAACTAGGGAATTCTTTCACTAAATGGTGCCATCTTTAAACAAATCAAAGCTTAGAGATTTCAGTGTGAATGCCTTACTTGAAGGGGGAGACGACCTCAAAGCAGAACCTCCTCTCGATGTCCTCATATGGTTTTACAGAACACAATCGGAGATCCTCTACTACCACCGTAAGTACATCCTGTTCACAAAAAAATGACAAAAGTGTTATATTTGTCTACCTGAAACAGCAGCTGCATATACCTGATTCTTTCTGCAAAAGGAAATTTCCGTCTACCTAACAAGTGATGAGCTTTTCGTCAGTTAAAATGAATTTCAGAAGATTCCCAACAGCTCAGATATTCCCTTTATCTTTACCAGGATCTTAACCGAGATCCACTAATCCTCAACTCACAAAACAATTGCTTGCATCTCAATATTTTATCTGAAAGAATATTAGAATTTCTCTCCACAGCATCAGACACAGATTTCAGAAAAAATAAATACTTCAAAACTTTAAATTTTACCTTTTACAGAGAGAACTGATGGCGTCCCTTGGCATAAACTAAAGGTAAGTCTGTTTACTTGATTTTTACCTTGTTATAATGTATTTTTCATCTATATATATATATATATATTTAACATATATAACAACACAATAGAGGAGTAAACTTATACAAAAAAGTATAAATATAAATCAAAACTAAGGATTTTAACACCATTACTAAACCTTATACTTAAATACAGAAACGTATTTGTATAATTTTACTTAATTATGCCACAAAGCACTGATACTTAAAATATATTGACTGAAGTATGGAATAAGAAATGTACAAGTGTATTATACTTCAAATATACTTCAATAAACTAAAATTTTTACACTAGTAGTATAACGATGAGTGTACTTGCTGCATACTTGAATATTTGATTTGACCATGTACCAGTATGCTTTAAGTATACCTTTTGTAACAAGAATGCTTTAATTTAGTCCCAAAAATATTAAATGAGTATATTTTGAAGAACACTAGATGGTTCCTAATATACTTGCTAAACTTATCCTTATGATCATCTATACTTAATAAAATTAACTTGAAGTATACTACTTTTGCTAAGGGTTAAATAAATAAGCACTTGCCTTCAACTTCTTCTGATAGACCAGCTGATTGTTCTGAATGGAGAACCACCGCCTGTAACAGTAAAAAGAGAAGTTTTATTTTTTTTATTTTATTTTTTGATGCAAAGCCTTTCACAATCTATAACACAGGGGCATTACGGAGTACAACTTTTCTACCTCTGTTATTTGCTGTTGTTTCTCAAATTAAATGCATAACGATATTACAGCTTTCATTGATAAAATTCAAAAGTGAAAAAATTGTCTAGCCTGTAAGTAAAAAAAAAAAAATGAACCAATGAATCGAATCGATTCGTATCGTGGTGTATTCTTGAATATCGAAAATAATCGAATCTTTGGGTCAGAAAATCGATACTGAATCGAATCGCCATGATGGATGTGATTAACACCCCTAAACCTACCATCTCTCTACATACAACAACGCTACTTTTACAGCATGGAAATCTACAGGGTTAGGAGACTCCTACAATAAGCCACAGGCTGTGGGATCAAACCATAAAAATATCATCTATCGCCTAAACCCTCACCTCTGAGTTTTTATTGATCAAATGGTTACATAAGGAAGTGATCAAGTTGTGTTGAGGTGAAACCACCAATTAATTTTAAATTTACACAACAAACAGGGTCTGTGTGCAACCAATGTCCACCTTTAAATGAAGCTGATCCAACACGGTTTTCAGTTTTAGTCATGGCGCTTACCTGTTCCAGGTCTTGAAGGCATTGCTAGCCCTTTTGAACAAGTAGCCCTCCATCACCACGCCATTAGGGGCGTCCACGTTAAACTCCACTTTTGAGTCGTCATATGAAAAATCCTGCAGAAAGAAAAGGATTTAAATCAGGAAAATCAATGATCAACAAAGAATAAAAAACCCTGTTCTGCAGCAAAGAGGCTGCAGTTATAGATTTTGTCTTCTAGACTACCAACAGCTTTCAATCTATGTGCTGAGCATTATACACTTTAGACAAACTGGCATCTTTTTTTTTTTTACTGTATATAAGTTCTTAATGATAAAATGCTTTCCATTTACTCATAAACATGCTGGATTTTCAAGTAATTTTGCTTTTTGAATAAATTTTGTTTGGATCAGGAAATTTTGTGCATTAACTTCTGTCCTGAACTACTGTAACTTTCCTTTACACTAAAAAGCAAAGGTGAGCTGAATGTGTTGCTAACGTTACTAGCTGCAACCAGGAAGAAAACCATACACAGAGCGGCCATCTTGGGTCAGACCAAGCGGACGGAAACAGTACACGTCTATTGAGGCATATGTTGCTTTATTAATTCACGCACCAAATCTGGTGAACTTTTAACCGATTTCCAGATAAATGGTTTACTGAGAACTGCAACGTTTCAGTGGCAACATGGCACCAAATGAGTCATAGAAATTATCATCATTTCGATTTTATATTGACAGTTAGAAAACTCTCAGAGCTTCCTCTCAGGATGCCCAACTTTTATTCCACGTATAGGTTCATAAATAAAAGGAGACCACAAACAAGATCCAGTGGAATTACCTTTCATAAGTAGCATTTTATGACAGGTTTTCCTCATGTTTCACAGTTTCCTGGCATCAGCACAATACTGTATGTGTTAATACATAGCAGGGATAGAAGCAGAGTAAAGTGCATAAAATGCCCTGATTTTTGAATGAATGAGGGTAGTATATATTTTGATATATATTATACATACATATATAATCTGTATTTGTGTGAATAATCATTAGAATATATATATGTAATAGGGATGGAACGGTTTATGAAAACCATCCGAAACGTTCGGTTTGCGCGTGTTGCGTTCGGTTCATGCGCTGTTCCCTTTTCTCATAGGTGAAGCGTTTACACTCCAGAGCAGAAGGTGGCGGTACTGCGACCAAAGCCAACCACCAGTAGTAAACAAGAAGAAGAAGCGAAGCAGCGTAGCCGGGAGTAGCAGAAAAAAATCAGTTGTTGTGGAGAATTGTGTGGGTATGGCGAGTGGGAAAGAACAGGAGTTGAAGACGCGCCAGCAGCACTTTATAGGTCTGCTGTATGGGACCACTTTGCATTTAGAGGGACCTACGATGACGGCGGAAAGAAAGTTGTGGATAAAAGTGCAACAGTGTGCAAGCATTGTGCAACACGTTTTGTTTATGCTAACAGCAACATGACCAACATGTCAGGCTAACTATCAACATATACCGAACTCAACCGAAAACCGTGAACCGAACCGTAGATTTTGTGAACCGTTCCACCCCTAATATATATATTTGTTTGTGTTTGTCATATTAATATTAAATTGCAAAATATATAACTGCATGTACTGTTTATATCTCATCCACTTTGATTTCATTTTAAAGTGTTTTGATTCTGTATATTTAATATAAATGAAAGGTCATTATATAATGCTTATGAAATTTTAAGGGGTCGTAACATATACCGGTAAGAGATTATTGGGATATTATCTTTGACTCATCTTCAATGTGTTTAAAATGAGATGTGAGGTTCCGCCTATTTATTCAGACAGCAGCGTCCAAAGGGTACTTATTAATGTCTATGAAGAAAACGCTACTGTCTTAAGAGGCGGGATTTCCTGTAAAGTAGCCAATCACAGGCAGATTTCTTTCTCCATTTTGTATCACCCTAAAAGTGACAAAAGTTGACATGAGCCACAGAAACAGATCAAAAGGTGATCAGGAGAAAATCTAGAGCTGCATAAAAAGCAAGAGGAGCACAGAGAAGAAGCATAGAGTCATGCTTGTGATAGAATTGTGGCCTTATAGTAATAAATCTGCACACATAGAACGTTTAAAATGCACCAGGTGTGCAGTTTACATGTGTGTATTCTAAATAAAACTACTTGTATGAGGATTTGTCATGCATGTGAACTTTTCTGGAATTTATAGATTAAAGTGTTGGGTACAATATCACTATTTTATCTTGGTGTTTTATAGCTTTTTTTAATCAAATCTAAGGTAATTTTTTACTAATCTGATTGCAAATTGCTAGCTTTGTTTTTTTTTGTCAAATTCTATAGTTTTTTCACAGTGTATATTGCTGGTTTTAAAAGTTGAAAGAGATGTTCTATAGGAATATTTCAGTAAATGAATAAAGGACGGATTTAATATGAAAGTTAATAATAGTATAAAATCATACAGACACAAATAAAGGATGAAAAAAGTTTTTCTAAATCATTAGAATAGAGTTAAACAGTGTCTAGATATAAGAAAAGTGAAAAAGTCCACCCACCAAGCTGCAATTCCACCAGGAAAAGATCTTCATTTTTAAAAGATGGATGTTTTTCAGCAACATTAAAAAATCTTTACAAACAGAAACATGAGGAAAAAATCTGCATAAACACAAATCCAAAGACGGAGCCTGACGACAGGATCATGTCTTTCTCCACTTTCTAACGGAGCGATTGAACCGCCACTGAAGCGCTGACCACGGCAGCATGCGCCTCAGGATTACAGCTAATTACCATACAGCTGTCGCTACCTCCAAACATTCCTATTGACACCTCAACACTTCAGCTGCTCTTGACCCAAAAACAAGTAGGCTTGAATCAGTCGTACAACTTTTTATAACGCCTCCTCCAACACCACCATGGTGACACAGCAAGAATCTCCCCTGGAAGGAAGCCAAGACCACCAAACAAAAAACAAAAAACCTCAGGAAACTTGATTTAACATTTACTGCTAACAGGGACCCAGTTTGTTTCACATCACATTAGATCAGGTAAAAAAAGGGAAAATATTAATTTAAAAGCAGCTTACCTTCACTGTTAAAAGGGAAGGACATCAGGAACAGGAGAAGCACTGTACGCTGCTCTGAAAACTCTCCAGCTCTACAACAATCATCATCTATTTTTAACGGCCCGACATCACACAGACCAATAAGAGCACGAGTGAATTATTTAACAAGCGAGAGGCTTAAGAACGTTATGGGGCAAAACAAGGAAAACTGTGGAGCGGCAGGCATGAACAAGCAGGAACATGGAATGATGCAGTCAGTGTGCGGTGATACGTCATCCACCTGCTGCTGCTGTCAGCCTGCAGACCGCGCTGCCAGGCCGGAACAAACACCTCGCATCCTGTCCAGTTGGCAGCACTGATTTCTCAATCTGCTGCAGGGACTGCATCACCTGGAAGCTCATTAAGTGTCACTCTGGCAGACATCTATAAATTGATCCAATATCAGAGCTTGAATTGATCGTAATAGCTTACAGAAAAAAGGAAAACAAGAAAGAAACAAAACCATCAGGCTCAGGTTAATACCTAAATTGGATAAATGAGATTTTATGGAAGCCCCAAAGACCTAAATGGATTAGAGGCCTCTTTTTTTAATGCTTAACAAAGACGCACAACTTTCTTCACTGCACTTGAAATAATTAAGCTTTAGATGTCCCTACATCTTCATGTGAATATTTCTAGCTCTCTGTTTTTTCTGTTTTTTTGCCAAGTTGAATTAACAGTTTCTCTGCAGTCGGTGTATACTCTGTATGGAAGAGGATTAAGGCCACTGGAAAAAAAAAAAAAAGTTAAAGTTAGTTTTTTTTAATTTCATATTTCAGTATAGTATGGGAAAAAAGTCAGAATTCTGACTTTAATCCCAGAATTCTGACTTTTTTTATTGTCAGAATTCAGTCAGAATTCTGAGATTAAAGTCTGACTTTAATCCCAGAATTCTGACTTTTTTTATTGTCAGAATTCAGTCAGAATTCTGAGATTAAAGTCTGACTTTAATCCCAGAATTCTGACTTTTTTTATTGTCAGAATTCAGTCAGAAAAAAACTTGAATTTCTGACATTTCCAGACAACGTTTAGAATAGAATAGAAAATTGCTTTATTGTCCCACAACCCTGTAAAGTTGAAGGAAAAAAATCTCAAAGAAAATCTAAGTAATTAAACCAAGAGATCAATGAGAGGACACTAGGAATAAAACTAAATTACCGTTTACCGGAAATCTGGTCTTATTTAATGAAGCTCCAAGCTTTACTCAGTTCCACTTTATCCATTTAAACCAAACTTGCACTTTAAAACAAATTAAAACATTCAGAAGGTTTAAAAGATTTTCAGAGATGCTATAATTTCCATTTTGTTGTTGTACATCATTAGTGACTCCTTTGTATTCAATACTACAGCCAAGTCATGTTAAGTAAGGAATGAATAAAACAAAGGACAGGACATATGAGCTAAAATATTCAGTCATTGTTTCCTTCAAACATCGACGTGCAGCTTCAAGCAGTAAAAATAACTCTGAATGAGCAGGAATAGCAGGGAGCTGCAGCATCAAACAGGACTTATCCATTAAACCCAGATTAAAAATAAACAGCACCGACATTTGAGAGCCTTTTCCTTCTCTGCAGCAGTAACAATATTTGCCTTCAGAGCTTAACTTTCTTCCCACTTCCTTCTATTTTTTCCTTGTATGACATAGCGGCTGCTCTTAATCCTTTAAAGACTTACATAAGACTTATTAAGTATTACTGCAGGTGATTGAAGATTATAAAAATGTACACAATATCCCTAAACTGACAGTTTTATAACCTTTGAGCCCCTGAGATACTCTCTGCATTGGTAGATCTAACCTCAAAGCTCTATGTAGGCCACTCAAACTAAGTTTGGCTTCTGATTGTGCATTATAAATGATTCAAGATCCACTTCTGCATGCCCTAATGGATTCCAGAGTTTAAATACAGCTTGTCAAAACATAGTGGAAGAAGTTGCAGACTTCAGGTTGAGATGCAGGTCTGCATCTACGGAAGAGGATTAGGGCCACTGGAAAAAAAAAAAAAAA